GCGACAGCTTGGCTATTATACATGTGCACTACAGTAATATGGTTATGCGTTGGCAATATTATCTGAAGTTTGACAAACGACTTATCAATCAACTAATATGACAGACAAATCCATAAGACACAAATACACATGGCATTATTGACTATGATGCCTTTAGTGGAAAGTGTTAGAAACAGTTCAAATAATAGTTAAATTCTAATTGCACAGAGATGATATAATGCGACGCATGTGAGGAATACAATGGATAGTTAAGAACCAACTATACGATTCGGACTCCGTAGATGACCTGATTCATCTATCGCATATACACGGACAAATGCAGATGAAGACAACCAGTGTTGCAGCAGTCGATCTGAACATACACAGGAGAACAAATCAAGATTCTGAAATACAGAATGTGAAACAGCAACCCAATGAGACTATTTGGGTAAGCTCTGGAAGCAGTAGACGATTTCACATACTTGAACAACATAATCGTCGAACGTTTAGGATTTGATGCATAGGTGAATGAGTAGCAATGACAGCATTCCTATAATTTAAAGCCATTTGGAATTTTATGCAACCAACAAACAATTGACTTGACTGTGTTCACTTGCATCTTCCAATTGGTATTCAGGATTGCAATTGATCAGTCTCTTATTGTCAGGCAGAACGCGTAGGATGCACATATGCTAACAAGAGAATGATCAATACCAGTTCAAAATAACAATGTGAAGATGCAATTAAACAATATCAAGCGAATTTAAACTTCATGCAATCGCACAAGCATGTGGCTGCCAGTACTCAGTAGCTAAGTGGATAACTCATAGTCGTTTGAGGCGAACGGTAGTGGATTAGAGTACTGGCCGGAGTTTACATGAACTCTGAGATGCAGGTACATCCACCTGACGAGTCTCAAATAGCACGGTACGTGCGTCAAACTGGATTCCAATGCTAGCCACTATCCATCTTCGCTTGACCAAAACCCAATATCAATGTCAAGATCTTCAATGCGAACGTCAAGAAGGTTAGTTCTATTGTACGGATTTGATACATATGCCAAGAGGCATATTGCGTCGAGAATTGGACACAGACATACACGCAAGTTGAGGTAAGCAGAAGGAGGTGGGTAAGTGCTAAAATAATGTTCACTTTAATATGGTTTACCTGAAGACAACATACATCTTCATGGTATGTCTTTTGAGGCGGTGACGATTGTTTGTTTGTGCGTTCAAAATTGATCTCCCCTCCACGTCAATTGTAGAATATGAATTGCCTCAACAATATCATTTTCAAATTTGAGGATTGTGTAGTTGAGAACAATACCAATGCACTACTCTCCAATCAGAATCAACGTGACGTTGTATCGTTAACTGATTGAGAATATGTGTCACGCCTCTTCGGCTACCAAATGATCAATAAGAACCCTGCGGTTATTTATTAGCTGAGAGATAAGTGAAAAACAAGGCGGCTGCAACTGGTCAGGAATTACGTGTAGTAATTCCGCAATGTTCATTTTAATTATTAACACGCACAAAATGGAAATTTACGTTTATTTACGATTATTTAGGTTAAACAAAATGGAACTACAATAATTAATAATGATTTAGAATAGAGACATTATAGCAAATTACATTGAGATGCGTGGTGATAGCTGTGGAGTTAAAACGTAAAGTATGGACGGAATAAGCATTTTGTGCTTTAAAATTTTGAAAACATCAATACCGCAAAAATGTTGACATTAGTATTAACTTCAGTTTTAATTACAAGGTCAGTTAACGTTTGTGTCGGTATGGTGTCCGTATGCGTTGATTTCGTGAGTGCATTTGCATTAGTAGACTTAGTGAAAGAATGTGAACAAACACCCATAATAATTCACATTCAAGCCTCCTTTAGTAGATTTTTTGTTATGTATGAAATTATGCAAGAAATTCATTTTATGACAGACTGTGTGAAATCCACACTTTTATTATTATTAAACAGTTACGCTAATTAACCATAGAACATCTACATCTTATCACATATCATTATTAGAGCAAATAACCTCATTATTTCTATGCTTATTTCTCTTATATAATTATTCATTGAAAAAAGTAGAACCTGTTAGTTATTCAGCCATATTCAACTCAACATACTTTTAGCTTTGATTATCTACACCGTTGAAAGTCTCATATGACATTGAAGGTTCTCTATTTGGTAAGGTTCGCTGACTGTTTCTACGCGAAATTGGTCTGCTAGTTAACTGATTTCATCCATAACAATGGCTTTTTTCAGTGTTCTCAAGGGACAATGTCATTGAGACATTATAAGTTATGTCACTATTGCTAACATTATTGAGTTTGACTACCGTCTATGCGGAATATGTCAACTTTGTCATTTTCACGTTGCGCACAATTGATTTGTGCGGTCAATCATCGAATAACTATACATGTGACGTGAATGTGCATATGAATGGTGCGAAGGTCCCACTAGGGTGCTTGATACCTGTGTAGTTGCGCCACAGGATTGAGCTGTACTATTCAAATTGTAGCGTTAAAGCCTATATGGATTCTGGTTCTCATGTGGTTGAGCTGTACTGCGCAGGTTATAACATTTAGGCCCGGATGATGCACGGTTTTCTTGGAAACGGAATTGAACTCTACCATTCTACTTATAACTTTTAAGCCTGCTGGCTTACCTGCGGAGCGAGATGGAGCCATACTGTTTGGGTCAATACATGAAAGTCTCGATGCTTTCCAGTTCTGAAAACCAGCGTAAAATTGCATCAGCCCATAAATGCATATAATATAACTGTTAATGCTTAGAAATTTTTAATATTCACAATAACTGGCAAACTGAATCCTCATAAAAGGAACACGTATATTCCATTTCTTCATGATCTGAGAAAAGATTGTTGCCACCTCTCATCTCATTGTCCATTACCAAACAATTCTATCACATAATGTTGGAATACAAAAAAGACGTAACTTTTCTTTCCTTTTTTTTTGTTGCGACTCCATATCTTGCAACAGTGAAACGATCAACAGGAACTAAATCACATGGAATGACGTTTAGTTGTTAACTTGATCTCGGTTATTAAATTGGCATTGCTAATGATAACAATTCTAGTGTTAGAAATATAATAGTTTAGATTATTTATACATGTGCTCCATGCTTTATTTTGCCTAAACTAAAATATTCACGCTTACATTTCTATAGAACACATCTTCATAGTTATTGTTAAAACTCAACGAAGAATAAACAAGAAGTAGATGCTAGGAATTATTCATGGATTATTGTTACATATATTCACATCGCATAACTACAAAGTAACTGTCATCATATATCTATTCAGATTCGTTTTGTTACGAGCTTCAATTTGGCCTGTTAAGCAAAATTATACGGTTTACTCTCGTTAAATTAGTTCTAATCTATTAGGAACTGTTCCTTATATTCACGGATACTTTTGGGTTGACCATGTATACTTGTAAATTTCTATTTATGGTATGATACGCTTTGACTATCTTGTACATAAACTACATATGTTTGGAATGCATGATTCACACAGATTGTATTCTGAACTTAAACAGAGAGGACTAGGTGAAAAGAAACAAAAAGGACTGAGAGTGGAATTTAGACTGTTCGTAATGGTCAACACGTCATTGGTTTGGCACAGGACAAGATCAAATAGATCGATGTTCTGTCTGGCGATAATTAAACAGGCCATAAGAACATAACAGTTCTGTTATTTTACTAATAATATCTTGTTTTCTATTTTTCAAATCAAAGCACTACTATTTTTAGTGTGACCAATGAACACTTAGGTCAAATTAATTATTTGTCGGTATATAAACGGATCAATTTCTGTCTGAACAACAATACTTGGGTTATACTCAGTTGATCTACACAGTAATCAAGTGAATCAAATGTCTCGGTTAACCTATATCGTCATAACGTTCATCATTCTTCTGAATTCAAGTATATCACGTAAGTAAATCTTCTGTTACATTTAAACTCTATTGTTACTTTTACGTATATACCTTAAATTTATCGTGATATAACGACTTACTATCCGCATGATCATTTACATGTACCGATAGACGACGTTCACAACTTTAGTGTATAGCTACAGACTTTGACAGATAATTTAAAACAATATTCCAACTGTCAAGTTACTTCTCACATAGTTCGTCTTCAATCTGTTGGGTGTATTTACCATGAATAAACTTAGCTGATTAAAACTTAGGTAGATGGACTATAGAAACCTCTACAGTTTAATATTCTGTTATCACAACTGATTGATTCATAGTGAGATGAATAAGAGTTTAATTGAGAACCAAACTCAAATGCTGAAACAGATTACATACAGTGAGATGACTTGGATATTGTTGGCATATATAACTCCCATTGGTTGTATTTTAAACTCAATGTTGATTCACTCGGTATTTGGGATAATAACGTCTGTAAGGAATTAGTCAATGCAATGAAGTATAGTCATTTAAATTTCTTCCTGAAACACAACAGTTTAATATAGAAAAAGTGCGTAAACTGTTTTAGAGGTACAGCACGTGTATAAGAGTATTCTCAAAGTGACCAAACATTATGTGGTTTTACGTTCCTAATTCTATGATGTAATTTCTTCAGTAGACATAAAGTGATGATCTATCAACAAATGGATCAAAGGGTAATTGGTCAACAAAATCTAAACATTTTCTGTTTAGATAGAATCTTTGAAGTTGCTCTCGAATCTTCTTTACAATTTCCAAGAAATTCAACATACCAGTGGTAATAGGCTTAGTTCCTTGAGGTTTGAAAACAGAAACATTCAAAGAGTTAAACCATAACAACGTCATCGATACACATTCGCACGATACTGATGGTTAGACATAAATGACTTTGGTTACAACATGGTATTATATGTTTGTAACTTACCATTGTAATAGAAGGCATATGTACATTCTGTGCTTCTGACTTATGGTGTTACATATAAATATAAGCATGACGTATCAGAAGCATTAACAGACATGAGACTCTCTTTCACGATGAATTCGTTACGTTTATCAGATTATTTTCTTTTCATCATTATTTTAGTGATCAAATGTAAGTATTTAACAAACTTTTATTATAACTGAAATGAATAATCGTAATTTATTACAAAACACTTTTTGTTGAAATGTAAGAGTATTCCAACATCAGGGTAAACAATCATAGACGATGACATACTTACTTTAGCTTGTTAACTCTCATGGAGGATCATAGACTTCTCACCAGCATTCTCTATCGAACTGTGTCTTGAGCAATCTTTTCCATTTGTTTCCAGTTGTTATTCATCTTTTCGATGTCTGCTTCCAATTATCGACGCAGTGTGTTCTTTAACCTTCGTTCTTTTTGTTTCCCTTCAACATTACAAGTTAGCGTTTGTCTCGTGATACAGTTTGTTGATTTACGTCATGCATGTTCTACCCACTTTAAACGTCTCCTCATAAGTTTCTGCTCAGCCGGAAGCACATCGTAAATAATGCAAATCAAATATTATTGTCGACAGAATAAAACTGAGAAACAAACACGTTGTTGTTGAAGTAAAATTTAGAATTACACATATTTGCGAATCCATTCCAATGAAATGTTGAGATGATACTGCATCAATCAGATTTAAGACCTCCTTCATTGAAATTCACAAATCTGATGACAAAATGAACCATCAGTTGTTCGGACAAAGCGACCTACTTGTACATTGATAAGCCAACTTGTACACCAACAACTTGTTTCATCTTATCGTGATAACTGATAAATATGCCATTTAGTTACATAAACTTCGTCCATTTTCAAGTATCCATCTAACATACATCCATAGCGTATTATTTTTCACGGACGTTCCTAGCTCGTCGGTAGTTCTATACGAAGATACGATGGTTTATTACAGCATTTAGTGCATTGTATAAGTAATTTTCTGTTTGTAGAAATGTTTTTGTCGAATAAACTAGAATGCTTGTTCCCTCTCACTCTATTAAATTCGCAACGCAAATTTTTTGGAATTTATTTGTTGAAGGTCAACCTACTGACACCACTACAGACTTAGAAAAATACAGCAAGTACAGCTGATAAGATATTTATTTCAGATATAAACATTCAGCAGCGATGAGCAAACTCCATGAAGCAAAACAAAATTTAACGTGAAATATATGTTTTACACATTTAAATGAACCACAGTAAAAATCACAGAAAAACCTTTACATATTACCTCAATATCACATTATTATTATTATTAGCTTTATTCAATATTATATTTTTGATACAATATAGAATTCTCAGCGTAAAGTATTTCAACAAGTTTCCGTTTCCTTCTTCTTCGTCGGTCCTGGCGATAAATATCGAGTGATCGCCGGTTAGATGTTAGCAGTCCACTAAATGAACATCTGAATAATATGCATTCTTTTGGTTGTATACTGCCAGCAACCACATTGTCTCTTATTGAGTTGTTTGTACCTTTGACAACGAAAGGTTGTACACTTTTCAGAAACGCAGCACAATAGGTTGTGCGATTAATAAACATAATGATATATTAAAACAAATAAAAATAGATAACTTCTTCAAATATCTAGATGACACGAACAGGTAGCCCAGATGCTCAAGCAGACAGCCGAAATTGATACATATATCATCACTCCCTTTGTCAATACGTACAGATCCAAAAACCATATAACACAAATATATAATTCTCTATCTCATTCTGCGTTTCAGGTGAGAAAATCCATAAAACAGAGACCAACGTCATAGGTTAGTTGTTTGTTGTAATTCACTGATTTTTCACACATATTCACTAAACACACATTGACATTGACGGTGTCGCGTGATCACATGCGTCACCACGACAATTGTAACATAGCCACACCATTACGCTCATCAACTGTCTAATTTCTTTATTGCTGATGTTTTCGTGTTCTTCCACTCACTCTCTCTGATCACATCTTGTGTGGCCGACCCAATCACACTTATGTTGACACACATTGTACATTTCTCATCACGTTTAATACACATGCTTCGAACGGATCTGGAAATACTTTTCCAGAATACACGTGCAACTGGTGTGTCAGTGGTGACTGATACGGATTCCACTATGTGTGAATTGCTTTCGACCACTCATGAGAAGTTGCGTCACGTATAATTTCCGAACAAACTGGAAAAGTCACTCAAACTCACAGATCCACTCGTCCACATTGCAAACACAATCATTATCGCTAGTTGATTGGGGAGCAATCATTCTCAAACTTCACATTTCACAATCCATTCGAAATACAACATCACACAAGAAAACAGCTGTAGAAAGTGAGTGACTCTTCAATACGATGCAATGCAATACGTCGATAATCCATGGACGCTCACATACGTGAATGAGGTTGATTCACGTGGTTGATGTTTGATGACATTCTAGTGTGCAGCGATGTTAGTGGAAAGGTTGATTGTGCAGTTGTGACGTTCCGTTAGTCATGAGAAGTGTGCGTGTGTGTTGGTAGTTTCACATCTTCAAATCAATGTGATATCTGTGTTCGTGCATCGATTTGCATGGTTTGCACACACTGTCAGTGCACACAAACTCCATGTGGGCATGTTCACACACATGTCCACAGTGACACGCACCCATCAACTTACATAAACACAGTCACACGGGCAAACGTGTCACACCAGCCACTCAACACAAATCCACTAATCAACCATTCAACAGTCCCTCAATCTCGCCTCCTCATCCCATCACTCCCATTGTCAACACATACACAACCAACAAGCACATCACTTAAAATTACTTCTCTCCCTTCTTCTGTGTTTCAGATGGGTCAGACATTAATGGAAAGAAGACCGAAGTCATAGGTTAGTTGGTTGTTGTAATTCACTGATTTTTCACACATATTCACTAAACACACATTGACATTGACGGTGTCGCGTGATCACATGCGTCACCACGACAATTGTAACATGGCCACACCATTACGCTCATCAACTGTCTAATTTCTTTATTGCTGATGTTTTCGTGTTCTTCCACTCACTCTCTCTGATCACATCTTGTGTGGCCGACCCAATCACACTTATGTTGACACACATTGTACATTTCTCATCACGTTTAATACACATGCTTCGAACGGATCTGGAAATACTTTTCCAGAATACACGTGCAACTGGTGTGTCAGTGGTGACTGATACGGATTCCACTATGTGTGAATTGCTTTCGACCACTCATGAGAAGTTGCGTCACGTATAATTTCCGAACAAACTGGAAAAGTCACTCAAACCCACTGATCCACTCGTCCACATTGCAAACACAATCATTATCGCTAGTTGATTGGAGAGCAATCATTCTCAAACTTCACATTTCACAATCCATTCGAAATGCAGCATCACACAAGAAAACAGCTGTAGAAAGTGAGTGACTCTTCAATACGATGCAATGCAATACGTCGATAATCCATGGACGCTCACATACGTGAATGAGGTTGATTCATGTGGTTGATGATTGATGACAGTCTAGTGTGCAGCGATGTTAGTGGAAAGGTTGATTGTGCAGTTGTGGCGTTCCGTTAGTCATGAGAAGTGTGCGTGTGTGTTGGTAGTTTCACATCTTCAAATCAATGTGATATCTGTGTTCGTGCATCGATTTGCATGGTTTGCACACACTGTCAGTGCACACAAACTCCATGTGGGCATGTTCACACACATGTCCACAGTCACACGCACCCATCAACTCACATAAACACAGTCACACGGGCAAACGTGTCACACCAGCCACTCAACACAAATCCACTAATCAACCATTCAACAGTCCCTCAATCTCGCCTCCTCATCCCATCACTCCCATTGTCAACACATACACAACCGACAAACACATCACTTAAAATTACTTCTCTCCCTTCTTCTGTGTTTCAGATGGGACAAAAATTGATCCAAACAACAAGGACGTCAAAGGTTAGTTGTTTGTTGTAATTCACTGATTTTTCACACATATTCACTAAACACACATTGACATTGACGGTGTCGCGTGATCACATGCGTCATCACGACAATTGTAACATGGCCACACCATTACGCTCATCAACTGTCTAATTTCTTTATTGCTGATGTTTTCGTGTTCTTCCACTCACTCTCTCTGATCACATCTTGTGTGGCCGACCCAATCACACTTATGTTGACACACATTGTACATTTCTCATCACGTTTAATACACATGCTTCGAACGGATCTGGAAATACTTTTCCAGAATACACGTGCAACTGGTGTGTCAGTGGTGACTGATACGGATTCCACTATGTGTGAATTGCTTTCGACCACTCATGAGAAGTTGCGTCACGTATAATTTCCGAACAAACTGGAAAAGTCACTCAAACACACTGATCCACTCGTCCACATTGCAAACACAATCATTATCGCTAGTTGATTGGAGAGCAATCATTCTCAAACTTCACATTTCACAATCCATTCGAAATACAACATCACACAACAAAACAGCTGTAGAAAGTGAGTGACTCTTCAATACGATGCAATGCAATACGTCGATAATCCATGGACGCTCACATACGTGAATGAGGTTGATTCACGTGGTTGATGTTTGATGACAGTCTAGTGTGCAGCGATGTTAGTGGAAAGGTTGATTGTGCAGTTGTGGCGTTCCGTTAGTCATGAGACGTGTGCGTGTGTGTTGGTAGTTTCACATCTCCAAATCAATGTGATATCTGTATTCGTGCATCGACTTGCATGGTTTGCACACACTGTCAGTGCACACAAACTCCATGTGGGCATGTTCACACACATGTCCACAGTCACACGCACCCATCAACTCATATAAACACAGTCACACAGGCAAACGTGTCACACCAGCAACTCAACACAAATCCACTAATCAACCATTCAACAGTCCCTCAATCTCGCCTCCTCATCCCATCACTCCCATTGTCAACACATACACAACCAACAAGCACATCACTTAAAATTACTTCTCTCCCTTCTTCTGTGTTTCAGATGGGACAAAAATTGGTCCAAACAATAAGGACGTCAAAGGTTAGTTGTTTGTTGTAATTCACTGATTTTTCACACATATTCACTAAACACACATTGACATTGACGGTGTCGCGTGATCACATGCGTCATCACGACAATTGTAACATGGCCACACCATTACGCTCATCAACTGTCTAATTTCTTTATTGCTGATGTTTTCGTGTTCTTACACTCACTCTCTCTGATCACATCTTGTGTGGCCGACCCAATCACACTTATGTTGACACACATTGTACATTTCTCATCACGTTTAATACACATGCTTCGAACGGATCTGGAAATACTTTTCCAGAATACACGTGCAACTGGTGTGTCAGTGGTGACTGATACGTATTCCACTATGTGTGAATTGCTTTCGACCACTCATGAGAAGTTGCGTCACGTATAATTTCCGAACAAACTGGAAAAGTCACTCAAACTCACAGATCCACTCGTCCACATTGCAAACACAATCATTATCGCTAGTTGATTGGGGAGCAATCATTCTCAAACTTCACATTTCACAATCCATTCGAAATACAACATCACACAAGAAAACAGCTGTAGAAAGTGAGTGACTCTTCAATACGATGCAATGCAATACGTCGATAATCCATGGACGCTCACATACGTGAATGAGGTTGATTCACGTGGTTGATGTTTGATGACATTCTAGTGTGCAGCGATGTTAGTGGAAAGGTTGATTGTGCAGTTGTGGCGTTCCGTTAGTCATGAGAAGTGTGCGTGTGTGTTGGTAGTTTCACATCTTCAAATCAATGTGATATCTGTGTTCGTGCATCGATTTGCATGGTTTGCACACACTGTCAGTGCACACAAACTCCATGTGGGCATGTTCACACACATGTCCACAGTGACACGCACCCATCAACTTACATAAACACAGTCACACGGGCAAACGTGTCACATCAGCCACTCAACACAAATCCACTAATCAACCATTCAACAGTCCCTCAATCTCGCCTCCTCATCCCATCACTCCCATTGTCAACACATACACAACCAACAAGCGCATCACTTAAAATTACTTCTCTCCCTTCTTCTGTGTTTCAGATGGGACAAAAATTGATCCAAACAACAAGGACGTCAAAGGTTAGTTGTTTGTTGTAATTCACTGATTTTTCACACATATTCACTAAACACACATTGACATTGACGGTGTCGCGTGATCACATGCGTCATCACGACAATTGTAACATGGCCACACCATTACGCTCATCAACTGTCTAATTTCTTTATTGCTGATGTTTTCGTGTTCTTACACTCACTCTCTCTGATCACATCTTGTGTGGCCGACCCAATCACACTTATGTTGACACACATTGTACATTTCTCATCACGTTTAATACACATGCTTCGAACGGATACGTGAATGAGGTTGATTCACGTGGTTGATGTTTGATGACATTCTAGTGTGCAGCGATGTTAGTGGAAAGGTTGATTGTGCAGTTGTGGCGTTCCGTTAGTCATGAGAAGTGTGCGTGTGTGTTGGTAGTTTCACATCTTCAAATCAATGTGATATCTGTGTTCGTGCATCGATTTGCATGGTTTGCACACACTGTCAGTGCACACAAACTCCATGTGGGCATGTTCACACACATGTCCACAGTGACACGCACCCATCAACTTACATAAACACAGTCACACGGGCAAACGTGTCACATCAGCCACTCAACACAAATCCACTAATCAACCATTCAACAGTCCCTCAATCTCGCCTCCTCATCCCATCACTCCCATTGTCAACACATACACAACCAACAAGCGCATCACTTAAAATTACTTCTCTCCCTTCTTCTGTGTTTCAGATGGGACAAAAATTGATCCAAACAACAAGGACGTCATAGGTTAGTTGTTTGTTGTAATTCACTGATTTTTCACACATATTCACTAGACACACATTGACATTGACGGTGTCGCGTGATCACATGCGTCAAAGCAACATTTTATTAACTGCTACTTCGATACCTTTCTCGGCTTTTTGATATACCATTTTTTCTGCAATTCTCAATGCTCATTATCTCAAACATTTCATTATCTTCGAGTTTTTGATTTTCGCAACTTTTTCTTTGCATTCGCCTTATTAAATAATATGGTATCTTAAATCATATCCTTTTCCATTTGTTTGCCTAAACCATTGTAAGCATGTTTTAATGTACATTCATTGATACATTTTGTGAAACGCATTTTAATGTCGTACCAATAGGTTTGTTCTGATATTTTTCACGTCGGATCGCATCGCGTTTCGTTTCTAAGTAACAACTCAAGTCAGCAACATCACAGAGTTCAATGGGTAATTTGCAAATTGATTGCGCCTCTGAGGACATCATTCTCACGGCTCTATTTGTTTATTCCTCTCAAAATTAAAATGGACCATGTCATATTATTAGTCAACACAGCTCTCCAAACATCTGCCATTTCTTTTCACTTTCTACTGTACTGACGAAATGTTCACTTGTGAGCATTATCAAACAATTAAAAGCTAACAATATAATAATCTCATGATTAAGCAAAATAATGATAAGTCCTCAAGTTAATTAAATGAGTAGACAAATGTGTAAGGTTTGTGTTGACCGGTATTTTGATGAATCCGCCGTTGTGTTTTTACTCAGAAATCGTTTAGGTAGTCGCAACACCTTTCAATTCTACGACGTGAGAATTAAGCATGGTGATTGAATATGCAAAGAAATGGTGTTCAATATTTCGAGCAACTTGACACATTTGCAATTACACTGATAAACCACACATACGTTTGTTTGATGACTCTTCCGACTACACCTCGTTCCACCTATACTACGATACTATTCTTGCATAATACCATGATAATTCACAATTGTTTACTATAGATAAGATTAAGTTGACGGCTATTTCGATGAACTACCAACGTGGTTATACAAAACGTCAGTCAACTGTATGACTGATTGTTTATAGATTCTGCTACACAGATTTTTTCCGTCACACAACCTCCCTTAGTGTGGTCGATCTAAGGGAGTATAGAAATAATAAAGACCAGTATATACGTTATGTTACTGGTGAATTGCTTTACTTAAAAGTTCGATACAAAACAATCTGCTATCCGGATTTGGAGGTAATTGGATGATATGTTGAACACAGAAATCGGCAAAACATTCTGCCAATTTATCATATTAGTAACGGGATTCGTTAAAATTTGTTTGGATATAAGTAAAACATCGTGCCGGACGAAAAGATACTTTTGTGATCTTAGATTTAAACGAATGCTTCACCAGGTATTTTATTTCGAAAATGAGTAAACGGAATTTAGTGAAAAAAAATGTTTTCATGCAACAGGCAGTTATGAATTAAGGAAACTGACGTAGTCGGGTCACGTACTCATGATCGAGAACATGTTTTATAGCCGAAAAATTGTTAGCCATATGTACTCAAATTATTTACTTACACATGAAATAACATCAATATATACAAGAGATGATGAATTGTCCGTGACTTCCAGCGATATTCTAGATAACTTATTCACTTTTCATCAAATTAGACGTTAATTAACTTCCTCTTGTTTTTCTACTGTATGAGAAGATGATTTTCATGAACGCTCTCTTCATGTCTCCTATATTATAACAAAGTTCCATCCATAATTCGTTGCTCTTATTATGACTGTGCACGCAACATCGCTCTGATTCTGTATAATCGGTGAGATTTTCGAAAATCTAGAGCTGCGTACGTCCCCAGTAGCAGTGAAAATTTAAGTGCGAAATTGATAGGTACAAAGTCATGTAAACGGTGATTGCAAGTAAACGGCGAAGGTACGATTCGATCTTGGCTGAATGAAGTCTGACCACATAAATATAGTCGTTTCACAAGGTTAATGTATGATGACGCTTTATGCGAGCCTGTCTTCGAAGAGGTTGTTTGCTGTGTTGTAAGCTTTGAAACACATTAGTTATTACTATGCGTGCTTATTGTTTCATCTATGCAATTCAATATGCGGTATGTTTATATGTATCATCCATGCCTCAGTTCACACAATTTCAACCCCTGCTCATAGTCTAGCGCGCATTCGTGTAAAAACAAAATGAACCAAAATTAATTAATTCATCAACAGTTTAACATTGTGCTTACATCATGAAAATGTCCTCATTCACATTTCAATCACCATCAATATACTCATTGTTATCATGTACTTCTTAAACTGTACTTTCTTTTAGCTGAGTTTAATACCACTGAACAAACTACAAATACTGAAGGTAAGTAAAAATCTTTGCAAACACCTGTTTTAGTCAGCTTTATTGAATAAACAGTTTTCTCCAAAGAACATGTGTTATATACGGTGAAGCTGGGTAATTATTTTGAAGAAAACACGATTGAAGTTTGATGGTTGTGCATCTATTACAAAACGGTTGTAAATATATCATCTGATATTTACGACACACAAAGTGTTCATACTAGACTTTATAACGAGCAATAAATAACGGAACAATAACTAAGACCATGGTAACACTCAAATCGTTCATCCAGAATAATTGCTGTGCATGATCACCATTCAAATCTTCTTAGTTATTATTAAATATGTAAATGCATTTGTTTCTACGTCCGTAAATTTTCTATTTTCCTACATTACATCTTTTAACTAGATCCAAATGCAGAGAATACCAACTCCGGTTTCGGAAGAATAATGCTCTGTAAGTCATTCATTTGGCACTGCAATTAAGTCAAATCAATGTTTTCTCCAATACGCAATTATCAAATGTTTGATTACATAAGTAAGCCTAACACCTATGAATAATCTAGCTACATTTACATTAGGAACGTTGTTTGTCTAAGTCTAATCATGTCCATTATAACTGCAAAACGTCATTTGATCGAATTGATTTACAACTTATTTGTGATACATTTTTCACTATGTGGTATCATCAAAACAGTGAAAGACGAGTATGAGTTGACACACTCGAAATTACCCCTATTATTACCGATAACTTCTTCACTATTCAAAGTGTGTCCTACCCTTACCGTTTCCATGATGAATAACATATCATTGTTTTCTTTTTTTTTAGATATCCTAGCTGGGTTATTCATTTTGGCTATATTGGCCGCTATTGTGGGTTGTATTGTATTACGTTAAAAGAAATGAAAATCCAATAAGTGATACATACATTCAATATGCTTTCCAATTCATTACTGCTAAATCAAGTGTCATATGTTTTGAAGAATATTTGTTAATCATAATGCGTAGATAGTTTGTTTAAACCGACTACTTTGATATTATTTTTAATCGTTTCTTTTTGTCAATTTTAATTTCACCATATTTGAACGAATAAATTGTGTACCACGAATACGTTTGTATATTTCTGTTGTAAACCTCGGCACTTTAAAGCTATAACAGGGCTCATATGATTTCATATCATTAGATTGTTAGTCAGATTCAATAGAAGTACCTTTAGTGATTCTCATTTCTGTTAAATAATCACAAAAAGCGATTAAGGATTGTATCTCAACAGTCACGCTTGTTATTATGCTTATGTTAAGTAGTAAACATTGTGTTTATCAGAACTTTGTTAATTTAATGAAATATATAGACAGTTCATTGGTACGTCGAACAGCTATAGCGTGTCGCCGACTCGTGGTTGACTATGAACACCGCTACAGAGAAACACATACCAAATAAATCCCCCGGAAGTGAAATATCAGAAGGTAGTTAATGAACCAAGTCGAGATATATTTGCTGGCGATCTCATGGTATCGAAAGGATACCGAGATCGTGCCAGGATACAAGCTTGTTTACAGAACGTAACCGAATTCACGCGAGGTCATAATCAAAGTGTAAGAATAATAATGGAAGCGTAATATAGCTGTCATTAGCACAGTTAAACAAAGAGCACACTAAACAAGCACAGGTACATTTGGTTATAATAATAATAATTGTTTTCAATAAATCAATCGTGTTCTCGTGATAAAAGCGAGTCATTACACAGCCATCAACCAAAGACAGAGCAATAGTTGATCTTATAAATCTTCACATTTTACACCAATTCGCTGACAATATTTATATTCGGCAATTTATTCAGCATCCAACCGAGTTCCACAACCAAATATCAAGAAACCATTGTTGAAATATTAGGATATTTGATAGATTGTACCATTAATACTGTTTCGATATTTTACCATTCTTTGCAAATGGTCGGAAAACAGTAATTTATGGTTTGCTTAAAATCTGTTTCACTTCAAAATTCAGGAAAACGGTAAATGGTCAAACAATGTAGGACAACCATTTGACTTGTCACATAAGTACCACATCCATCATAATATAAAAGTGAATCGTGTTTCTCGACTTTATTCGTTTTCTGTATGTTTAGTGTTAGTAGTTCAGAGTTTGTACAGAGTTTAAGCTTCATATGCTTCAGAGTGCTTACTGGTATTTGATGTGACATGAAAAAAGGAAACGACTCACCAATAATCATGTGTTTTGCGCGTACAAGCTATAGATTTCTCCACCTTGAACAATCATCCCGAAACCTGATGAAAGCTATTTCCAAACGAATGAGAATGCTTTAGAACAATACTATGTTGTAAGTTGTTACTGAGTAACAATGAAGAAAGAACTCGGTTTGACATCATGAATGCTGATACTAAATTTTGAATTAATGCATCGCATGAAACGAGAAGACGAAATGTAAGGTTAAGACTTAATATTAGTACTATTTCTGTAAATGCCTGACCGAGTGTAAAGAAAACGAGAAAATGATAAATGGTCAAACCATTGTTTGACAATATGGAAAACTGAGGTATTGTACAAAATACCAATCGAAATTTTATCAAGAATTCATCGAAAAGTGTGAATCATGTGGGTGAGTGTATGGTAAGCTTCAAGGGTTGAGATGGTTCAGCGTTATTCTACACTTAGTACAGGTTTTTATAGAACACTTTTATGCGTCGCTTCAAAAATGATTTTCGCCTTGAGATAAATCGTCAAATTCATTTTGTACATATTGATCAGCCAACGGAAAACTTTCATCGGCATAGCACTGTACTCTACACGTTTGACATCTTTGTTACAAGATGGCGTAAGACCTCTTATTGTTTGAGAATGACAGAGTTTAGATAAGGCAGGGTTCAGGAGGTGAAATGAATACATTTGTTAGTTAATTGAACGAATTTGAGAACAAATGGAAGGGAAAAGCATCTTAAAACAGTAAAATGATAAAAATGACGTATTGTTATTATTATAGGATTCCCCTTTCGATCCAGAAGTGCTATTAACTGAAAGCATATTTTTATGCGGGAGCGGCTACTTGGTCGTAGCTTTAGGTACATGACGATCAATGTTCATATTGAGCATCTCTTGGTTGTATAACTTAACCCAGTGCTAGATTTAGCGGATTCATATTTCTACACAAAGAGTAGAAGCGGCAACAATATTTACTAGCTGACTTGAAAATATGTACACAAAAATAACTCCTAGATCATCACGTTCAAATAACTTTGAATGCAGTTGACGAAATCGGTGTTTCGCTGTATCTCCATAACAAGTTTTGTTGATGTCTAGTCTTTGTGTAGGTCAGAAATCTCAGTTACTTACCTCAAAATTTCCAGAACAATAATGACAACAGTAGAAGTAGTGGAGCTAGTGCTTCTTCATACCTCAAAATGACATCGTCTGAAATGTTGACAGGTTTAACATGAATTCCCTGCTATGAGCACATTCGTGCAGTTGAACTAAGCATCTCTGAAGTCCTTCTGAATCTCTTCACATCTCATGGCTGTTTTGTGGCCGTTTTTTACTTTCAGTGATATATAATTTCGCGTACATCAAAACATGAATAATGTTGGTGAAATTCAGATGCTTAATGTAAACGTTGACTGGTGTGTTTATGTCTTCAATAAAATGAACAACTTGCGTTCGGTTGTTGATGGACATTATATTCAGAGCTGCTCATATCAAGAAGCAATGCTATGTATGCCTAATCACTCAGGTACAAACTCCCTCCTTCTTGTGATATTATGCTCTCCTAATTTGATGTTACTTTTTAAAAGTGCTGTGTTCCAAGCCTTTTATCGCACGTTTTGTAGGAACACATTGTCTCTTCTAGCTCAAGCCTCTGTGTTGTGGGTTAGATATCATTGTAGTATGACAAACGGTAATGAAGTTTACTAGTTGCATAGCCTGTGAGACACTTACCAGATGATATGCAATTCAGAGATGAGAAAGGTAGATCTCTGATCAAAAAGTACGAAAGAAAACATGTTCAGTGCTAGAACACCCGAGTCATGCTACCGGCTAGTAGAAAAACAAAGCATTTGGACCTGAATAAATTTTGGGATATTAGACATTTTTAAATTTGCAGAATATATATTCAGGAACTACACACTACATTTCAGAATACTGTGAAGTAATTATAATCGACCATAGTTGGGTGACATCTGCAGGTTTACTAGTTATCAGTCTACCTGCAGCAGACATTTAAATCAAACATGGAACCAGATGGAAAACACGACGTAGCTTAAAACAACGAGACACTCTGGATCTGAATGTGTGCGATAAGGAAAAATGTAAGTGACGAACAATGGTTGGTCAGAAAAAAGAAACACATGTTTTATCATATTATTGCAAACATATAAATGGAAGTGTAAGTGCTATATATTCATTGTCTGTATAGAGTTATAAGTACTTTTAACTTCTTTACAATGTCATAGTTATGGATGAGAACTGGCAGCATATTCCACAGCAGACTATGCTGTACTGTGAAAGCATACAACGAATCAATTTTCAATGTTTTTCAGTCAGTATTGTGTACGCAATATTTTTGAGATTGAATTTAGGTTTACCAAATAAGATTAGAGAAGAGGTTTGATATTGTAGCTAGAACACCATATGATCTGTCAGTGCCGAAATGCTTCAGAGTTCTTAGTGCCTTAGAAATATTCTCCATGTTGTAGTATGTATTTCTTACTTCATAGTAAAGCACTGGGGCATGCACTATTTTATTTGGTGCTCGTTTGTGATGTGCAATGTTTGCTGAATGGTTTAGTAGTTAGCATGGGAGTGCCATAGACCATCCAGCCTTATACGTTATAAAAGAGTAGTACAACTCAACCCCGTTTCACTAGTGAACCAAAAACCATACATGCTTTAACGTTAAAAACTGAATAGTACGTTTTACTTAAATGTATTTTCTGGTCTCGATTAAGATGACGGAAGTTAATATCGAGGATTTTGATGAGTGCGAAGGAAACATTACCAAGTCTTGTCATTTGTGTACGCATTACCTCGGTCTTGAAAACATATTTCTGTCATTAAAGTTATGTACTTCGAGCAGTACAGTTCCGTCTCACTTGCAGGAGTACCCTAGACCATCCAGCCTTATACGTTTTAACAGAGCAGTACAACTCAATTCCGTTCCACTAGTGAACCAGAAACCATATATGCTTTAACGTTAAAAACTGAATTGTACAGCTCAATCCCGTGACACAACCACACATGTACCATAAACCCTGGTGGACTGTTCGCAGCATTCATATACACATTCACGTTACATGTATAGATATTCTGATCGATGATCGCGATATGCCTTATAATGTACTAATGACAATGGTCCCTGAAAACTCTAAATAATCCACCAGTATAAATGAAATCTCTTAAGCAGCAAATCAATTTTGCTTATAAACATTCATTGAAACTTCTCAAATAGAGAACCTCCAATCTCTTATGAAACCTTCAACTCCACATAGCAGTATAAATTCTGTGTTAGTAGAACGACCATATAAGTCACTGTAAGCAAACTTAAAAAATTTGGTTACCATATTTGAGCCCTAACGGCAAATGTTTTGTTGATAGATACATATTTAAAGGTGCAATATTGATTAACATGGTGCCTGGAAGCAAATGAACTAAAATGCGTTCAAGAATATAAAAAACACTGTGATAATACTAATTTTACGGTGTATTTAATTAAAGCTAAAAGTATACTGAGTTCAATATGGCTGAATGACTAACAGGTTCTACTTTTGTCAATGAATAATTATATAGGAGAAATAAGCATAGAAAGAACGAAATTATTTGCTCTAATGATGATATGTGATAAGAAGTAGGTGTTCTATGGTTAACTAACGTAACTGTTTAACAAT